CCCCCCCCCCCCCCCCCCCCAAAAAAAAAAAAAACCATAAGCTTTTGTTTACTCTATTTATCTCCCTACTAGCTAATTTAGTTTCTGACAAAAAAAAATTAGCATAGGCTTCATTCTACGGAGCAACTCATGTAGATCATCAACTGCTCGCGGGTCGCCCAACCCCCGTAAGTTAAAACATAAAAGACTCATTCTCTTTGCGGAGAATGGCTCGTCCATTCCACGATGCTTCAATCATCATGTCGTTTGTTTCAGCAAAGTCTCCTTCATCAAGCTCTTGCCTACCCTTATTCATTTTCTTAGTTGTACCCACTGTTTTCTCCCCTATGATTACCATCCTGAAACTTTTACGCCTCTGACACCACTGACCCCTCACCACCCATCATCCGCAAGTCTTCCCCTTGTGAACTCATCCCAATTAGACCTCCACCTTCCAGAGTAGTCCCTCTTGTTTCCTTCTCAGATTGGTCACTAACTTGTTCGCATTTTCTATCTCAGGCCCATCAAGTCTTCCCTTTCCTTTAATTGGTAAAGCATTCAACTAATTGCCAAATGGCAACTCATTTTCAGGGATCTCCTCATCATATTCACTGTACTCTCTTCCCACGTGCCCAAGTCTCCCACAGAAGAAGCAAAATCCTGTCGGTTTTTCATACTTGAAATAAACCCATATAGATTTACCTTCTAGAGTTAGCTTTCTCCCTCGACAGAGAGGTTTGTTGATATCACGTCTCATTCTAACCCTTAGTGACTTCCCCAGCCCTGAGACATCAGACTCATCCATCTCAATCAACTTCCCCACTTTACTGCAAACAGCCTCTAGCCCAGCTTTGTTCCTCTGTTGAAATGGAACAGCATGGAGCCATAGACCCTCACCCAGAAATCTACATAGGAGAACACTATTTCCTCTGGTTGTTCATTCCGGTTCAACTCTTTGATCTGAAGAAGATAACTATCGAAAGCCCATGGCCCCTTTTGCAAAACACTCAACTTATCTTCTATAAAGAAGAACCGGAAAACAAATACATTTCGGCTTACCTCCCTAATGAGGAGATCTTTATGTGGTTCCCAAGCCCCCCAAAAGTCAGTATTGAAAGCAGTTCACCCACAGACAGTGGACCACCTGTTGCTGCCCGCTGTTGTTCATTTCTCATTTCCCCACGGGCTAGCACTAGTACCAAGACACACCCTCTAATGCTCCCTACTAGTGGGACTCCATATATAGCCTCAAACAATTGAAAAATTATGTTGTTTATATTATTACAATATAGGGTTAAACTTGTCAAATTCTAATTAAAAAATAAGAGATGTAGTTTATGTATCAAGAAGTGGAGGGTAGTTATCATGATTTTATGTGGGTCATTTCAGTCAACTTTTTTTTACGGTCAGTCAACATATTTTGTTTGGGCAAGTTACATTCTCTTTTGGCCAACTTTAGGTCAATGGTATTTGGTTCAAGTTCCAGTTTGATTTGGATTGCGCTTGAATTGGGTTGACATGTAAAAACCATAGTTATTAAAGGCGAGAGGCTTGAGGCGGGTAAGAGGACCTTTTTTGAGGTGAAAGGCAAGGGTAGTGGCGGGCGGTCAATCACATTGTAATGCAAGGATGATGATTCATGCTTCTAACATGTGTCATCTATTTCTAATATAGAATTGAATTTAGTTAAAAAGAAAATAAGATACTGAGACCTTATAGGATCAAAATCCTCTTTTAATACCCATTTGCTTGGAGAAGCCTTCTTCACTTCAGCAATCAAACTAGGCAATCCAGTTCTAGAATATGATGACTTTAAGCACCAACAAAATCTCGAGTAGCTGGGGCGTTAATAAGTGCTCTTTTCAATGTAGTAAGAGGTTTTCTCTCTTTCATCTGTTAAAATAGATGATATAAGACAAAACAACAGACCCAACTGTCACATGAACTTCACAATAACAGGGAGTAAAGCTCTTCCAGAGTTTGAGTCGAATCACTAGAGCCTCTGCCGTGGATAAATAGAATATGTAACTCACTCAACTTTGTAACATGGGCAAATATTCAATCATAAAAAGGGCATCGTGAACAAATTAGCACTATTTATCTACACAATTCCACAAATGGGCAGCATAAACAAAACCAAATTCCAGAGAAGAGTATTTGCTAACAACATTAAAACAACAAAATAATTAATTTTTTATAATAGCCCATCCCTCGTATTCCAATTTAGCAAATCTTTTAAGGATGACTTTGACAGATTTCAAGTCAACCATCTTCTTGTTGTTCTTCGCCTGGGAAGGAGTCATGGTCTTATTGGCTTCTTGGGTCGACCCTCCCTCATCCACCATAGTGTAGGCTATGTGATCCAACTCAGGACTTTGGTTCAGAATCCGGGTATAATTCTCCACGTACTCTTTCATGGTGGAGCACTCTGCCGGTGGATCTCCGATCACCAGAGATACAACACGATGCTTTTGTATCAATTTGGATAGCTCCCAAGTGCAGTTCCTTGAGTCCTCTTTGCCTCCTTCTTTGACCCTGCGTCTTGTCCTCTGGAATCCGCAGGGTCTTGAGCGTGGAGGTCTCAAGCTGCGGAGAAAATCTACCTAGGGCCGTCCCGACCTAGCGTCGATTCCCATGAAATTTTTCCCCAACTTAGAAAATGATAAAAGAGGGGAATAATTTCATGGGAATCGACGCTGGGTCGATTCCCGTAACATCCAGAATTTCATCGTTACCAAGTCGTACCTTACCAAAGTCCCCAATCTTCAGATTCTTCATCATCTTCATGCTGTGTGTGGCATGAACAGATGTACCAGAATCCATCACCCAGGAATCTATACTACTCTCTATGCTACAGATTAGCACATCATCACTATTGTTTGAGCAGCTTTCTGTAGTATTCACTTCCTTTTTACCATTCGGACACTGACTTCTAAAATGTCCCGTCTGTTTACATTTTGGGCCCTATTTTATTTTTTAAAAATACTTTTGCTTTGAAATTATTAACAAATTTAAAAATACGGGGCATTAAATTTTTAGGG